TCACGGGCTCGCCCCCAGAATCAGCCAGACTGTTACTGCTGCTCAGAGCACATGTACTGAGGCAGCACACCCGTACGCTAGTCATTTGTTCTCTAGCATGATAGGGCCTCGATACCGTGCTGCTTTGTTTTTGAGCTTGATACCTCCTTTAGTTTGACCTTATCCCCCAGTCCGCGATCGATTTCTTTGCCAGAAAGTACGAATTTCTGCTCATCGTCGATTCGATTCTGTTCATTTGTTTAATGCAAGTGAACTAGTTTCAACCGTTTTAATCCGCCTTCAGTTGATCTTTAACGGGTAAATAAAGTGATGAGTTACTAATCCCTACATAATTCACAGTTGTGAGATGCAGTTCACTCGTTGACAGTGACGAAGGATTTGCCGAAATTTCAACCCTGGACACCCACGCTGTATTTTTTTTATTAGATAAATGCTTATCACTATGAAGAAGGGAAGAAATTGCTCATTGTCACATAGCTGTAAATATTGCTTTCAGAAAATCTAACATTGTTGATTTCATCGAGAGGCATCAGCGCCTCACCATAAGTTCCATAAAAGAAAGAAGCCACGAGTGACATTCCTCATGGACAGACAAGGGTTGCTAATTTTTCTTCTCTTTTCCGATCTCAATTTTGTACTGGTTCCGATTTGTCTGATTAGATCGGCTATCAAGTGAGCGAAAGCATATTGCAGCCGTATGGCACGCCAACCGGTAAATTGGATTAAGTCAAGTATCATCACACCGGAATTGGATGTTTTCCCAGTTGTTTACAGGGTTGTCGACCTGCTACCAGTTTCTCATCCAGTTACACAAAAGCTCATCAGGACGTGTTAAGTGCCTAGTCGACTAAATTATTAAAATGGCTGTAGCCGGTCTTCTGGAACACAGTTGCATGATGCGCTAAAGAAAGAGAATGTAATTTGTGTTAGTTTTTTTGCAAGCATTGAGGAATCCCAAATTCGAACCGATTGCTAAACTGCCAGGTGAGAGTTCAAAATTTGTTGCTCCGCTAATGGCCCATGGTGTCTGCGGGGCACTGACGAATTTGGTGATAAGCATTGAACGTTTAGAGCCAGTGCAAGACTGGTGGCGGCTTTCTGCTGCAGGTATTTTTCACACAACCTCGCTATTGGTCAAATCGCTATATCTTCTGGCATTACTGTCATGCTGTCGGAGACTGCTTGTTCGTCAGAATCCCTGCGTCTTTTGTAACTAACCCCTTGTATCTGAGTGTTGTTCCACCATCCACAACCTTTGCGTGCGGTCCTCTTCATTTGACTGTGCCTCGTCAAAAGAATCGAGCAGAAGGTTTCTAGTAAAGAAGAATAAATGATCCATTGGACGGTAGTCACATGTCATATGAGAGAGCGATACCTCTTTTGATGTTTAGATCATCGCTGACGTTGTATGATCATGAACTCTAATTAATAACTGAACTGTCATGCAGAAGACCCAAAAAACTGCTCGAAAAATTACAAAGGGCAGTAACAAGATGATGTGGATGTGAGTTTATTTATTTATACTTTGTGCTGAGTTCTTTGAACAACTCCTTAACCCCGAGCAGTTGCAGGAATGCTCGCCTGAGGAGCACCAGGCAATGAGTATTACTCATTCAGCGGACGAAGTTACAGATGCTATAAAAGGCTTTAAAAGTGGCAAACCTGCTGGAATCAATGAAATCCACCCTGAGATGCTTAACGTTTTAGGCGTGGCTACCACGTGCCTGTCAAACTGCAATGACTACGGGGAAGACACCGATAGAGTGGAGAATTGCGGTGGTAATACCCCTATTCAAATAAAGAAACCATTGGAAATGTTCCAGTTATTGAGTCTCCCGAGAAAAGTCTAAACAACGGTGTTTAAGTGGAAGTGCCGCTAAATGGATGACTGAAATCCAAGAAGAGCTGTGTGACTTCAAGTCCGGCCGAAGCACCTGTGACCGCATCTTCGCCTTTCACCTGATTGTTGAGAAATCACG